GTTAAGAGGATGCAGAAATTTGCTCTCACACGAGTTGGTCTGGATAATGCAATCAAAATGAGATAGTGACCAAATTCTTCCTGTTATCAGTATTGAATTACGTACAACTGGAGTATTTCTTTTCTATTTTTGCCATGTACAGAAATGGAAAGGCAAAATAAACGTACAGGCTTGGGAAGAGATACAGGCATCTGTTCATTTCATAATTCAACCAAAGATCCATGAATGTTTTATGTTTTTTTCACTTGGTGGTTGCTAAGTGGCCACTCTCATCAAAATTTTAGTTGCAAAATATATTTTCACTTATCATGGCTTGGGTGCATCTTTTGCCCTATGACTGGTTTTAAGGTACAGCTGTACACCATATCCTTTACTTGTGTGCCATCTGCACATGATGCACAGCCTTCCTAATCTCAGTATTTTCACCCAGCTTTGACCCCAGTGATTGGAAAAGGCTGAACAAGTTGTGCACTTTTGCTTCACTTTAACAATAATCCAAATTTGAAAACATTTTCATTTGAACACTTTTTTTTACGATAGAGGCACTGAGACTTAAAAAATATTTTTTTGGATAGCACTGTGGAATAATATGGTAATTCTCTCCTCCCTCTGAGGTTACAAACTTAAGGTGACTATTTTCTAAGGATTATCAATGACACATCAATCAAATTACTTGCTTACTTACTCCATGACTAATGGTTGATCTTTCATTACTAATACAAGACCATTGGCATCTGAAACAAAACAAAATTGTGGCATTTTGAACATTGTTCTAGTAATGCATAGTTCTGAAGGATTATTCTCTATTCAATAACTTTACATTTTGTCAAAATGCCAGTGAATGCTACCAACAACCATCCCTCCTTGGACTACTCTCACATGGAGAATCAGACAAGACAATCAGACATTTTTTTTTCGAAAGATACCCCAGTTGACGGTAGGTTGACAGCACCCTTCAAGTTAAAAGTCACCAACCATGCTCTATGAATTAGTGCACACTAGGCAATTGGTCAACTACAGGTAAACATAATATTCTCCCCAAAGATTACAAACCAAGATGTCTGAATTACTGTACACCATACAAGTCATGTACATGAGAAGGAAGCAATTTATGTGTACCTAATGTTTTTGAATTTCCCCAATGCATGTAAACTGTAACATTCTTCTCTGAATTGTGCTGAGATTCAGCTACAATTAAAACATCAAGGCAGCCATCACCATCAAAGTCCATGGGGCTCACATTGACAATTTTGCTGTGACAAAGAATGATTAAAATGCATCACTAGCATCACTTCTGTACCAGACTATAATTATGTTATATAAGAGATGAAGAAATAAGATAGCGTGCAGTATGTAATTAATTAAAACAATCCAAAATAAGTTGCAAAATAATCTTGCTCAAAGATGAGTTATCAGTGGTGTAATTTTGTTGCATAAATTGCACCATTATGGAATTAGAGGATTGATTAATGACTGGTTCTCGTCATACTTGTCTGTCAGGATGCAATCAACCCAAATCCGTTCTATTGTCTCTAGCAAAGAGAGAATAGTGTGTAAAGTCCCTCAAGGTTCTGTACTCGGTCCACTTCTTTTCTTAATTTATGTCGATGCCATGCATCATTCCTCTAAAAAGATTGACTTTTACCTATTTGCTAATGATACCAATTTACTATATGGCGAAAAAGATCTAAACAAACTTGAAGTTGTCGTCAATGAAGAGTTATTAAAGTTGTGTGAATGGCTGAATTCAAATAAATTATCTCTTAAAGTATCTAAATCTAATTTCGTTATTTTCCATCCTTATCATCACAAACTATACTGAGAAGTAAACCTTAAAATACTTGATAATAACTCGGAGCAATTGGTATCTCTTGAACATAAGACATATCTTAAATACCTAGGTGTTCTAATTGACGGTAATCTCTCCTGGAAGCACCATATTAACTACATTTCCACGAAAATAAGCAAAGATATCGGTATTATTACAAGGCTAAGACACTTGGTAGCGCTCACTACTCTTATAAACATTAATTTACCACTCACTCATTAAACCGTATATTTCCTATGGTCTCGTTGCTTGGGGCCAAGCCGCAAATACTCATCTAAAGAAAATCGTCATTTTACAAAAGCGGGCTCTTCGTCTAATGTATTTTTCTGACTATACATCTCACAGTGCTCCTCCTTTTAGTCGTTCGGGAATTCTACCGATAAAAATGCTTTACTTCAAATTGGTTGCCTCTCTGTTACATGACATCAAAAATCACTGTGCTCCTCCCCAATATTTCTGAACTTTTTACTCACTCTGAACAGGTTCATTCCTACTCGATCTACTCGTTTCTCAGTAGCTGGAAGCTTTTATATAAAACAGGCGAGAACAAATCATCAGTTGCTTTCCTTTTCTAGAGTTGGTGCAAAAATATGGAATGGCATCCCCCTGAACTTTGTAAGCTAAGGAAAGCACTTTTTAAATGTAAGCTGACTCACCTGCTTTTGAAAATTCTTGAAATTGAGGAGATGAATGTTGACTTGCGCTACCTTGACCTTTCTAGCTTATATTTGTATTTCAACTGATTACCTTTCTCTTTGACCTGTTAAAAACTCCCTTGTGTGACTGGCTCAGTTAAAACCTTTAAGTAC